AAAGCTATCTCCCACTTGACTGAAGTGATTTTGTGCCCCCTCCTTTTTATTTTTTGAGACGAAGACTTGCTCTGTCACCAAGGCTGGAGTGCATTGGCATGATCTCGGCTCACTGCAACCTCTGCCTCCCGGGTTCAAGCAATTTTCCTGACTCAGCCTCCAGAGTAACTGGGATTACAGGCACATGCCACTGCACCTGGCTAATTTTTGTACTTTTTGTAGATGGGGTTTCACCATGTTGGTCAGACTGGTCTCGGACTCCTGACCTTGTGATCTGCCCGCCTCAGCTTTCCAAAGTGCTGGGATTACAGGTGTGAGTCACTGCATCTGGCTGTGTCCGCTTCTTAAAATTCTTTCTAACGTGGCATCTGACACTCTTCCCTTAAAGACTGTAAATGCTCATTAATAGCTAGAGTTAGGAGTAAGTTTAGGAAGGACTTGTGAAACTGTTGTAGACTTTTAATGGTATTGAGTCATAGAATTTTAAAACTGGAAAGCAGGTAGTATACAAATATTCTTGGAGTCACCTGAGTTATCAGAACAAACAATTAAAATCTTGAACCCTGAAGGAAAGACACATCAGGTGTCCATACTCCTGTTAGGGCATCTATATCCTAGGATGATGATATAATTTGAGGAGGCTCCTGGGAGTAGATGCCAGAATACAAAGGAGACTCCTAGAGATGGGCAGATTGATGGAAGAAAGTAATGAAGACGAACTTTGCTGTTTCTATTAGAATTACTCTTACCTAGACCAACCAAAAAAAAGAAAAATAAATGCCCGGATTTAAAGATTTTATTATTTTTCATTCATCTTTCATCAATTATATGAGACTAATATGGAAGTTACTATGAAAAGTGATTACAAAGTGATTATTTAAGCCCACACAACCTACAAAGTATGATGAGATATTCTGCCCACATTCCTTTGAAGTTTCAGTTCAGAGTGACTTTTAGTATGGGGCTTTTCCTAGCCAAAGGGAAATGAATGAGAAATAAAGTGTCCGCTTCTTAATCAAGTCACTGTGGGCATTTTGGACAGGATAATTCTTGGTCATGTAGGACTGTCCTGCACATTGTAGGATATTTAGCATCGCTGGCTCCTAGACACTAAATGACTCCTCCTCCCATCGTTATGGGGCACCTCCTCCCATTGTTAAGACAAACATTTCCCCAAACATCCATCCCTCTGAGGGAGGGCACTGTATCATCTCCCTGACTGAGAACCATGGGTAATCGGGAAAAGATTTTTTTTTTTTTTTTTTTTTTTTTGAGACGGAGTTTCACTCTTGTTACCCAGGCTGGAGTGCAATGGCGCGATCTCGGCTCACCGCAACCTCCGCCTCCTGGGTTCAGGCAATTCTCCTGCCTCAGCCTCCGGAGTAGCTGGGATTACAGGCACGCGCCACCATGCTCAGCTAATTTTTTGTATTTTTAGTAGAGACGGGGTTTCACCATGTTGACCAGGATGGTCTCGATCTCTTGACCTCGTGATCCACCCGCCTCGGCCTCCCAAAGTGCTGGGATTACAGGCTTGAGCCACCACGCCCGGCCAGGGAAAAGATTCTTAAATGCTTTGCTTCCACGTGACATGATATGTGTGAGGCTAATTCTTTGTGTTCATTGCTATGGGAGCACAGAGGGAGAGGTATCTCACTGCATCTGGCATTTCCTACAGGCGTTTTGGTGAGGATTATTCCTATCAAAGTAATCCAACAATGCCATACCTACTCAAAATATTTTAAATCCTCTCTTCTGGTTTTACTTCTAGATCCCGAGTCATATTCTTTTGAATTCATTCAACAGAGAAAACTTTCTTCCTTTGGAAGCATCCCAAAGTCACTTGTAGCCAAGCCTTGTGAATAAGATGAGTGAACAAGCTGGACAATGTTATGTTTATTAAAAACAGTTTCACAGAACACAAAATTATGAGCCAGCACTTAGTAGTTAGTGAATTATGAAAAGCACTTAGTTCAGGTTTTAATAAGATTTACCACTTGGTTCATTATTTGTTTGTTTGTTTGTTTGTTTGTTTTTAAATATGGGGTTTCACCATGATGGCCAGGCTGGTCTTGAACTTCTGACCTCAGGTGATCCACCCACTTCGGCCTCCCAAAGTGCTAGGATTACAGGCGTGAGCCACCGCACCTGGCCTAGTTCATTATTTTTCATACTCTTACTATCACGAGGTTGTTAGTTCTCTGTTAGGTACTGCAGATATAAAAATGAAAAATAATTCCTGCCGTTAAGGAATTCACTATCTAGGGAGACAGCAAGAGAGAAAGATAAGTAAACCAATAATTCCAATAAAAATATAAAAGTATCTGCTAGAAGAGGTATATTTTGTGCTACTATGGGAGTAGAAAGGAAGGGCACTAGCTCAATCTAACAGCAAGGAATGTGGACAGTTTGCTGCAGGAACTTGATGCTTTATCTGAGTTTTTTATGTACAATGCTAATTGGCTTGAAGGAGGAATGGAGGATATTCTAGGTAGAAGCAGCAGCATATCCAAAGATACAAAGGGTTGAAAGTGTGGTGCACTCTGTGAGCTTCAAGCCCTTTTGTGTCTGGTGCAGATGGTATGTATTAGGGAGGGACAGGAGATGACACTAGTGAGATAGGCAGTCTCATTTGCCAATATCCTTTTTATTTGCCATACTAAGGAATCTGGACTCTATATTGAAGATGATTTAAAGGGTAGAAATCTGATGAAAATGAACTGGAGTAGGCTAAAACCAGAGACAGCAGTTAAGATGCTAGGAAACAGGAGAAATCATGAGATTCTAAATAAATAGGTAAGGATGGGGATTAAATGGAGAGGGAGGAGTCAAGACATTTAAAAACATAAAGTAATGGTAACTAAAACATAGTTATAAATGGTGAAAAGAGATCCTTTCTGATAAATGGATAACGATAGATTTCAGAAACCAACATTGTATAGGAATTACACATACAGTAAGAAAGACATATTAATTTAGTAGGAAATGAATGGATTTTTTAAAAAAGATGTTGGTTAGGAAGGTACACTAGTTTTCTAATTATTAAATTATCAAAAACTTGATGGCTTAAACAATATAAATTTGTTTCCTTATTGTTCAGTAGGTAAAAAATCTGACATGGGTCTCACTGGGCTAAAATCAGGGTGTCAGTATTATACTTCATTGCTTTTGGGATTTGGGTTAGAATCTAGTTTCCTGCTTTTTCTAGCTTCTAGAAGCCACCCTTGTTCTTTGGCTTTTGGACCTCTCCTCAGTCTCCAAAGCCTGTGACATCACATGTCTCTAACCATTCTTTTGCAGTCACATCAACCTCTAACCACAGTTAGGAAAGTTTCTCCACTTTGAAGGACTCGTGTGATTAGATTGAACCCACCCAGACAATCTGGGATAATCTTCTCATCTCTACAATCCTAACCATATCTGGAAAATCTCTTATGCATGTAAAGTAATATATCCACAGGTCTTGGGTTTAGGGCATGGACAGCTCTGTGGAGCCATTATTCTGCCTACTACAGATGGAAAAAAAATGTTAATTTAGAGCCCTACCTCACATCATAAATAAAGAATAAATTACTGATGGATTAAAGATCTAAACATCAAAACGAACAAAGTATGAAAAAAATAAAAACATAGAAGGATATCTTTAAATAAGAAAGGCTTTCCTGGATAGGGTAAGAAGCCCAATGGTCATAAATTAAACTATTGACAGACTGGACCCAATATTTAAATATTTAAAGCATCTATACAATGAAAGACAATCAAAAAGTTATGAAGTCAACAGATAAGCACCAGACCAGAAGACAATATTTGGAACATACATATAATAGACAAAAATAATATCCATAGTCTATAGAGTATGTAAAAATCAGTGAACAAAACCAACCAGATAGGAAAGTGGACAAAAGATAAAACAGATGATTTATAAAAGTGAAAATAAAAAAAAACTAATGAGCACAGAGAGGAAGAAAGCTAAACTTCTTTCCTTGTCAGGGAGTATTAGTCAGGAATTTACACATATATGGTACATCTTAAAAGAAAAGCAAGGAAATGATAAGATATATTCAGGATAGTATAGGGTGGAAAGGAACACACTGGGAGCTTTAACACTATTGATAAATTCTCTATTTCTCAAACTAGAGAATGTATAGATGTTTGTTTTTATTTTTAAATGTCATTAATGTACATATGTTACACTTATTCTTTTTTGTAAATGTAATGTGTCATAATTTTTAATATGGAAAAACACGTTTTTAAACTTTATCTTCAGACAACTTATTTGACAAATAACTCCCATATCTTTGTCCAGAGACCCTATTCAAGTTTGTCCAACATCAAAATAATGTTCTCTTTCTTTCTTCCTCCCCTCCCCTCCCCTCCCCTCTCTTCTCCTCTCCTCCCTCCTCCCCCTCCCCTCCCCTCCCCCTCCCCTCCCTTCCCTTTCCCTCCCTCCTTTCCCCTCCCCTTCCCTTCCTTTCCCTTCCCCTCTTTCTCTTTCTCTTTCTCTTTCTCTCTCTCTCTCTCTCTCTCTCTCTCTCTCTCTCTCTCTCTTCCTTTTTGAGACAGGGTTTCAATTTTTTGAGACAGGGTTTCAATTTGTCACGCAGGCTGGAATACAGTGGCATAATCATAGCTCACTACAGCCTTGACATCCTGGGCTCAAGCAATCTTCCTGACTCAACCTCTGGAGGACCTGGGACTACAGGCATGTCCTCACCACACCTGGCTAATTTTTAATTTTCTGTAGAGATAGAGTCTCACTATGTTGTCCAGGCTGGTCTCATACTCCTGGGCTCAGGCAATCTTCCCGCCTCAGCCCCCCAAAGTGTTGGGATTACTGGTGTGAGCCACTGCACCTGGCCTCAGTATATTCTTTTTGCTATAGAGCAAAATGATCCATTCCATGTGTTATACCCAGTTGTCATGTCTCTCTAGTCTCCCACCCTGAAATAGTTCTTCAGCATTTCCTTGACTTCCATGACCTCGATATATTTTTTTAATGTGACACATTTTAATAAACAAATGATCAGCATTTTACACAATGCATTTTCTTCAGAAAATCCAGAGCAAGGGATGACTTCATTATTTCTGTAACAGTTCAGTATTGCAGACTGAAAACAACTGAACTTTCAGATGAAGTTGACTTCCACTTGATGGCAGGATTCAAGGTTTCTCAGATGTTAATACAGAGTCAAAAGCAGTGGATGAAACCTTGCAAATGGTTTGTGCTTGTTCCAGGCTGTTGCACTGATAAACCCACAGGCTGTATTCTTCATTGCTTGCATCTGTGGTCTTCAGAGCCAGTAAACTTTTTCCTGCCCCCAGACCATCATCAGTAACAAACCATCCGGATTATTAAGTAGAGAGCATGCCTGTGCAAAACATTATATAGATCTGATGTTAATACTTTTATGCTATACTTGTAAACTCCCATAATAAATTCTTCCTCTGGAGGAACAAAAGGCAACTTTCCATCTTGCTGAGCAACATCTATATAATTTATCAGGTCCAAGGGTCCTTCAAGACTTTTTCCCTCAGAGAGTTTCAGTTTCTCTATGGCACCAACATATTTTATTAGAAATTCTGCACAGGTATCTGAATTACTGTTGCTTTGTCCTGAGCTTTTGGTGGAATCTGTGTCGAGGCTGGCCACAGTGCTGGATCGTGAAAGACCCCCAAGGCTAGAATCTACAGACTTGCTCTTAGCACTGATTTCACTACTTTGGGAACTGCTACTACTGCGTTGTTTTTTGCCTTTGCGAAACATTTTTCACCACCATTGCTCGATCCAGAGAAGATCCCTATAGAATTGAACACTATTTGACTGTCTTCAAAGGTCCCACATACCACGGTCTGCACAGAGAGATTCCTGTCATTCTGACCTGGACGATGCTTTTCACAGGAACAATGTACCTCGCGGCCGCGAGCCCATCCCCGGGCTGCGAACTTCAGGATCCGAGTTGGAGCGCCGCAACCTTCGGCGCCTAGGCAGCTACTACACGACCTTGATATTTTTAAAGAGTACAGACCAATAATATTGTAGAATGTCTCTCAGTTTAGACTTAGCTGAAGTGTCCTTTTGATTAGACCTAGATCATGCTGGAACATCATAGAAGTGCAGCTAAGTTGGCCGGGCGCGGTGGCTCAAGCCTGTAATCCCAGCACATTGGGAGGCCAAGGTGGGTGGATCACGAAGTCAAGAGATCCAGACCATCCTGGTCAACATGGTGAAAACCCGCCTCTACTCAAAATACAAAAAATTAGCTGGGCATGGTGGCGTGTGCCTGTAATCCCAGCTACTCAGGAGGCTGAGGCAGGAGAATTGCCTGAACCCAGGAGGCGGAGGTTGCGGTGAGCTGAGGTCGCGCCATTGCACTCCAGCCTGGGTAACAAGAGCGAAACTCCGTCTAAAAAAAAAACAAAAAAAAACAAGTGCAGCTAAGTTCTTATTGCATTCTAATAAGTAGCTCACAATGTTAATATGTCCCGTTTCTGGTGGTAATAATTTGATTGGTTGATTAAAATGGTTTATGCCAGGTTTCTGACTGAGAAATTACTCTTCTATTCCTTTGAAATTAATAAGAATTTGGGGAAAGTACTTTGAGACTGTGTAAAATTCTGTTCCTCATCCTACTTTCACCCACTAAATTAGCATCCATTGAAGCTTTTTCTGAATTTGTATTATGCTGATTGCCAAAAAGTGATTTTCTAATTCTATCTACATTTGTTAGTACAGACAGTGTGATTTCCATATGGCCCTATTCCCAGAGACAGTCATCACTAGCATTCCTTTTTGATAGTCTGATTGGGATCTTTCTCTACATGCTCAGGTATAGGAGTGAAAAGCCAGTGACTGGATTGATCCAGTGAGTGATCTTTCAAAGGAGTAAGGAAGTTAATTTTCTTGGCAAGACTAGGGTTGAAGAGATGGATTGTGGGCTCTAGCCAGATAAGGAAGGAAGTAAGCCCAGAGGCAGCTGATGATTAGGAGGAGGTGGAGAGAGGTGAGGACTGCAATAGTTTGAATGTTCCACCCCTTCAACTCTCACGTTGAAATTTGATCCCTAGTGTTGGAGGTGGGGCATAATGGGAGGTGTTTGGGTCATAAGGGTAGATCCCTCATGAAGAAGTTAATGCCTTCTCTGTGTTTAGACAGGAATAGGCTATTGCTCTATTAGTTCCCTTAACAGCTGGCTAGTAAAAAGAGCCAGCTGCCTCTCCCTCTCCTTGCTTCCTTTCTTGCCATGTGATCTCTGCACACAGCAGTTCCCCTTTGGTTTCCACCATGAATGGAAGCAGCCTGAGGCTCTCATCAGAAGCAGATGCTGGCACCTTGCTGACACCCATTTGAAATCACAGATTTTTGTATAGCTTGTAGAACCAGGAGCCAAATAAACCTCTTTTCTTTATAAATGACCCACCCTCAGGCATTACTTTAGAGCAACCCAAAGTGGACTGAGATGAGGAGATAGAACCTCTTTGATGCTAATGTGGTAGAACGGAAGCTTTAGGAAGTACAAAAAAAATAGAGCACTTGGGTGCTGGCTTGGTTTTTTACTTTGGATTTCTCAGATGCTTCAGAATCTTTATATGGACACCTCATTGATTAAGCACATGGAATGATTCATACCAATTGAAGTCAAAAAACAGGTCTTACTGTTTCATTTGTGAGTCTGACAATTTTGGGGTCTTGGTGTTGTTAGCCTTTTACAACTACCAATTTTGAAGGTTTATTAAGATCATCAAAGAAACATTGAATTTTGTTTCAGCTACTGTTTCTTTCAATGAGACATTAATTCTTCCAGCTTCTGTTGAAAGATCAGAACAAATGGCAAACCTTTATTGTTTTTGCTCATTATACAAACAGAAACTTTCTTCTGCTCAAAGCTTTTTACAGCATGAATCTGTTCTAACTTTAACTCTTCAACCATCATTATCAGAGTGAATCATATTTTAAAGCCCCTAGTCTCTGAACTTTTTAACATTTGAATTAGACCTACAGTTTTGCTTCTCATAAAGAGTCATCTTCTCCAGCTTTGAACATTAAGCTAAAGTTAAAAAAAAAAAAAAAAGCTTCCTCTTAACATTATTTGTATGCCCACATAGTCTTAACATGTCAAGTGTTAAGACTTTAACACTTTAATTCTCATTTGCAGAATTTACATGACTGAAAATACAATCTCAAATCAGTGTCTCAGTAACAGGCACTCATTTTAAAGCCAATGCAGAAAAACCTCCTGGCCTACTGAAACTTTGTAACATCAACACAGAGCTTCAAACAGAGCAGGTACAAACTACTACAGAACTCTGGAAATAGTCATTCAAAATTATGGCACTGAAGCACTGAATTATCCAATGCAATAAAAAGTGTATATAAAATTTAGTAGTCATCAGTGTAAAAGGCCATAATACTTGAAATACTTAAAACATGTTGTGGTCTTCTCGGTTCTGACAGTTCCTTCTTCTGTTTCCAGTAATCATAAAAAGAAAACAATTGGTCTCCTTACTTTGTATCACTCCCATGTTGCTTATCTGTGATTTCAATTATCCATACTCAAGAAGAAAGATACCAATATGGATAAAACAACTGATAATATGCTAAGGTTTTCCTTCTTATCAGCTTAGCATCTGAATTTTGATGACAAATATTGCCTATTGAGACATAGGGACTGGGAGGGGCAATTTTTTTTTTATTCTGAGACAAAGTCTCACTCTCTGGCCTGTCATCCAGGCCAGACCCAGAGTGTGGTGACCCTGAGTAGCTGGGATTATAGACATGCACCCCTATGCCTGGCTATTTTTTTTTTTTTTTTTTTTTGAGATGGAGTCTTGCTAGCTGCCGAGGCTAAAGTGCAGTGGCATGATCTCCATTCACTGCAACCTCTACCTTCCAGTTCAAGTGATTCTCCCATCTCAGCCTCCTGAGTAGCTGGGATTACAGGTACCCACCATCACGCTCAGCTAATTTTTATATTTTAGTAGAAGTGGGTTTTTACCATGTTGGCCAGGCTGGTCTTGAACTCCTGACCTCAGGTGATCCACCCACTTCAGCCTCTCAAAGTGCTGGGATTACAGGCATGTGCCACCATGCCCCACCTAATTTTTATGTTTTTAGTAGAGACAAGGTTTCACCATGTTGGCCAGGCTAGTTTCAAACTCCTGACATCAAGTGATCCCCTGGCCTTGGCCTCCCAAAGTACTGGGATTACAGGTGTGAGCCACTGCACCCAGATGCTCCTGCTCCTTAACGTCTTCTTTACTTATTCCTTATTTGTGAATAATGAAATTGATAAATAGAACAAATACTGTCTGCTTGATTGTCAGACCTAAAACGACTTCCTTTTTCTCTCTACTCCTTCTCTTCTCATAAAAGGAATAGAAGGTGCTAACTGCTTAAATGTCAGACTCAGCAATAAAGAGCCTATCATGTTTCAAAGCCTCTGAAAGATCTCTAGAGGACAAATAGCGGGCCTTTCGGAATCCACACCTTCTCTAACCTTCTCCTCTCAACCAAGATTCCAATTCATGTCTGTCTGATTCTCTGAGCTGTTAGTTTATGAAAAATTAGGTCTTTGAAATGAGAATGAGAAGGAAAAAAAATGTCATCATGTATATTTATTTGGTTTGGGAATAAAAGAGCGCCTGTAATTTAGAATAAGAGACAGCTATGACTCATTACGACTATGAGGATTATTAAGGAAATGGACAAATCAATCACACTACTCCAACTGTATTCGTCATCACAGTAGCATTGCCAATCTCCCTATACAGTAGGTAATTGCTATTCCATATCTTCTCACATGGAATGTAAGGCCCATTCTGGTGTAACAGTAAATATTAGAATAGTCTTCAAACCCATTATTAGATGAGGCTATAAAAAGCACTAACCAGAGCAGGTGCAAGCTACCTCAGAACCCTAGAAAGAGTCATCAAAATTACAGCACTGAAAATGCACTGGATTATCCAATGCAATAAAAAGCATATCTAAAATTTAATAGTCATCAGTGTAAGAGGTCATGTACTTGAAAATTAAGACTGTTTTGATAATGTTAAGTTACACCGATACCCCTAACCAGGAAAATGGTACAATGCTTAAACTTACATTTAAATTTCTTCTGTTTAATAAGTTTACAACTGCTTAACAAAAAGGATAAGAGCAATATATATTACAGCAGCTTTGTTTGACTCTATTTAGACAAGTAAAATCTTAAGCTTCCCTGTAGTTTTCCTTATAAAGCTGACTGATTCTCAGTTCATTTCAGCTAATGTTTTGCTTGAAACATTATGTCTCCATTGCTTTGGTTGTCAGGCTTGGAGTTACCTTTCCACTGCTGTTTCTGCTCTCTAGCCAAGGTTACTGCTGTTGTCATGAGGTGTCTTCATCCAAGCCTATGTGTCTTACACTTAATCAATGAAGACAGGAGAGATGGAGGAGAAAAAAGGGTGAGAGCCAAAGAGCTTCCCTTGAGCTCCTATCTGTAACTGAAAGTTCCCATGACATTCCATCCAGAAATCAAAAAGCATATCTGTGGAAACTGAAAGAAATAAGGGCATATGCAGAACAGTTGAGAGCACAGACTTTGGCATCAAGCAGACCTGGGTTCCAATCCTGGTTTCTTCTCTTAATATCTATGTGACCTTGGACAAGCTCCTTAATCCCTCTAAACCTGAGTTTTCCTGCTTACAAAATGAGAATAACAGTATTATCTACCTCACAGAGTTTATTGATAGGCTCATATTAAATAATGCATTTAAATACTCTATATAGAACCTAGCATATAGTAAGCATTCAAAAATGCTAGTTA